CTCGACCTCATATGTGCAATGTCAAAAATCATCTCAAAACTTTTGACTTATGGGAGATCAAATAGTCTTGACTCAGATGCGTATCGTAATCTATAAATGTGTCGAGATTGAGGCTTAGCTATCATACCCTTACACATATCTAGTCACAAATATCATAGTGGACTAAATGCGCCAAAACAAATGACCTTCTGCGGCTTTCCTACTTACTTGTGCGCACCCATTGCGAACAAAGTTACACATTCACATGAGAGCAGGATGTACAGAATCCACCATGTGCGCCTCACATGAAATGATTTAAGATCACTACCTCTTGCGCAATAACCTCTCTAAAGATATTTTGGTGACCAATTTGCGTTCATTCTTAGTGCGCCCAACTAGCACAGATGCGCCCAACTAGCGCATTGAATCTTACAATGAGCAAATTAATATACTACTAGTAAAGCATTTTATCCACAGTCTAATGAGCAAGGTCAATGTCTAAACAACTCAGTTAACCATTTATCAAAGATAACGCTTATCATGCCGAATACGCCCACATAGCGTACTTTAGGCTCCCACAACAAAGAAAAGATCAAGGAATATAGGTCATCTGTTTTTTTTTAAAGACAATCCGAGGATTCACTCAATAGCTAAGGCTCTGACTTTTACCGATAGGTAAGTCAATGGGTTTGCAATTTTGCATCTAGAATCGTTCTAGGATATTCCTTATGTAAGTCGTCGAAGGCAAAACAGGAATTCTCCCAAAACAATCCCTAAGGATCGTACATTCGAACATATAAATCGCATTACCCATGTCCATCATATCTAAAACAGAGGACTACCCACCCTAGGTTGTGACAACCCTATAAATTCCTGGCTCATAATGACTAAGTAAGGAAAAATTTCTTTTGGACCATTGATCATGCCTCAATGGTCTTCATCGATCATCGTTGGCCTATCAGGGCTTGACGAAATCTAAGAACCACTATTTGGATAACTGTTTGAGGCTATAAAAGATTTATTGGAACTAGCAATCTTTTTGCGCTCCTAACTTTTCCACATAAAAACAGAAGGTAAATCCCTACGGATCTACTTATCCAATTCTCCAACGAGAAGTTAGGTCACAATGTCCACAAATCAATGTTCCGAACTTATGTCAATCATAGCCTAAGTCGAAATAACCTCACTCCCCAAGAAGAAGTCTTCTCATGGTCTACACTTTTCTCAATGGTGTGACTTTTCGGTATCTAGCGAGCCTTATACCTCAACAATGACTATCCAAATTGCGTATAACCTCAGAACAGTTTCGCGTCATAATGGAAAGTCAACCAAATTATAGAAGTTGTTAATCCTCAAAGACTTTGTCTTAAACTGCGCAAGATTAATCCACTTTCTAAAAACAGGGGACTAGAGCCTTTGGCATTACCCTAGGCTCTTTATCATCTTGCGGAGCAATCATGAATGTTTCATTCTCAATCACCCAGTGATGACGTGAAAAATTTTCACATTCGCTACCATGCAACCAAGAATGTAGAGTATTCTTCTCTAATGGAGTAATCCATTAGTAGGCACATCGCTCCCACTATCCCTAGGATATTAGAAATTTCTTTCCATTCTCAACTAGGCTACATAGAGCGCTATGCTTAGAATTCTCTATCTTATAAAGTTCCAAAAACTCTATTCATGTCACCTTTACTAAGAAAACTTTATGTGACTTAGTTACATTCCTACAAAGCTGCTTACCTATATGCACATGACCTGGAGGGTTTACATGATAGCATACAATAATGCGCCACGTGACCCTATACGTTTACAAGACAGCATACAATAATGCGCCATAGAACTCTAGGCCTTAACTTCGCAACCTTATGAGAAATAAAAATAAAGATAAGCTGCTTAACGGTTACAGATCGCCCATAGATGGCTCTCCACTAACCAATTACATAAATGGAGTGTAAAATCTGATATGGAGGGCATTTAGTTAGGGATATAGGCAACAAACTAAAGTGCAAATCCCAATTGGGAAACATTTTACGCCATCATCCACCTAACATTAACAATACTTAATTCCTTATCTCTACTACACCATTGTGTTGTTGAGTATTAGGAATAATCAATTTTCTAAGCATCCATTTCTCTTCACAGAGATTTCTAAAATAACTCAAATAGATACTCGTCACCTTGGTCAAAACTAAAAGCACAAAAGTTTTTATCTAATTGATCTCAACCTCATATGTGCAATGTCAAAAATCATCTCAAAACTTGACTTATGGAAGATCAAATAGTCTTGACTCAGATGCGTATCGTAATCTATAAATGTGTTGAGATTGAGGCTTAGCTATCATACCCTTACACATATCTAGTCACAAATATCATAGTGGACTAAATGCGCCAAAACAAATGACCTTCTAACGGCTTTCCTACTTACTTGTGCGCACCCATTGCGAACAAAGTTACACATTCACATGAGAGCAGGATGTCATAAGCGAGTGGGCCCGAGAAGGCCTACTCAAACCATCGTGTCATCATCTCATTA